TGTGTGTGTGTGTGTGTGTGTGTGTGTGTGTGTGTGTGTGTGTGTGTAAATGAGGACACTGATTGTGTTGTAAAGAGCTCTGAGTGTATTGATTAGATAGAAATGTGTTGTATACGTACAGTCCATTTACAATTGTAGTTTTGGTAGAAAGTTAGTGTAATGAAAGTTAAAGTTTTTGCTGGTGACAACTAAAGACAACATCTCTGTGGTATTCACCAATCCCACATGAAACATGGATCATTTTATTTATCAAATGAGATCAAATGAAACCGCAGTCGTACACTGAGACAGTACAAAGCAGCAGGCAGCATCTTACCAGCAGCAGCATGCACTTGTTCTCCCTGATGGCCCCACAGCAGCCCAGGAAGCCAATGATCACCAGCAGAGCACCAATGGCGATCAACAGGTAGCCCACATTGAGCACCTGGCTGAGCTGTGACGGCACCCCATCAATCTTCCCAAGAAAGTTGAGGACGGAGCCACTGTCCACCTTCACCCAGATCCCAACACCCAGGACGGCAGCTCCAGCCAGCTGAAATGGGGAGAAGAAAAGATGGGATGAATAGAAAAGTCTTCTGGGTTACAACAGTTTTGTGGCACAGCAAGAATTAAAAATGTCTCTGTACGACTGACCTTTTTAAAATTCACACTTATAGCTCAGATCTGTTGTAGTCAGGAAAGGTTTGAAACATTTATTATTTTACCTCTTGAAAGCTCTTTGAACATCCTCAGTTTGCAGAAATTATTTCTGACCAGGCTGAAGAGCTAATCTGAGCTAATCTGAGCTAATCTAATAAAGTGTGGAGTGAACCTTTATCATCTTAAAACAACTTCGGTCTAAAACTCCCATTGGTTCATACAAACACCGTTTCACTGACAGTTTTAATATCTACACTGGATTATCTGGTTATTTGCTAGCCCAAACAGTAGCAGCTAGCTGTAGCACTTCTAGTGCAACCTGAAGTTCTTCAAACAAAAATGTTGCAGTATTTCTGCAAGAAATAACGGAGAACCTCAAAACTGACAGCAGTGCAAAGACAACATGTTATTTTAGGACAGAAGCAGCCGACTTTAGTCTCAGCTCCACTTGGACTAAAGCTGCTAGCTTGGTGCTTTGGTTCCTGCAAACAGAAGAGTCTACCGCAGATTTAATTTATTTTAAAAAGCTGAGCTGCCTGCAGAGCTGAAAACTGTTTATCTTTCACAGAACCCTGCATGTGCACTAAATTTACATGGCGACAAAGACTAAAGTCTAAATCAACAAAGTTGGATCATTGCTACAACATACAACTGACATGTGCTGATAATATTTAAAAAATCAACATGAGGAGAGCACAAAAGAAGAGCATTGTGCATAGTTTAAGGGGCATGTGGGAAAAATAGGGGGAGTGGTGGTATAGAGAAGATGGACCTGTGATCGGAAGATCGCTGGTTCAACTCCCTGAACCAACAACATCGTGGGTGGGGGGTGAAGGAAGTAATACAGTATTTTTATGTAAGGAAAAAAAATCAACCCTGCCATATGAGTGAAACGGGAACAAGATATTTTATATTTAGATAAAATAGATGAAAAGTGAAAAGCCTGCTTGTGACATCATTAAAAAATACTTTAAAATGAATGCATTTTTTTAAAGGTAACATTATTGCAGAGAACCATGTCCTGTCGAACAGTTGTTGATCTTCTCCTGCACAGTAACAGGAAGTGATGTCACCTGCAGGTGAACAGAACATGGCTACAAAGGCTGACAACACAGACAAACGAGAAGAATCAGTTTCTTTAGATCATTTTGAGTCACTCTGAGAGACGAGAGTCAGAGTTCAGATGAGAATGTTTCAATAAACAAAGACCAGGAAGTTCCCCTTTGATGTCACTTCCTGTTTTACCGTGGCTGCACCAAGTTTAAAAGATATACCAGTTACGGGATAAAATGGGTACATTTGTGTGTATTATGCCAAGTTTCTCAAATATAAATCCATTTTTTTGCACTTGGACATGCATGTCGCAGGCACTTTAAATGTTCTTCATCAGATTATTTACATCTTTACCAACAGATGTCAGTAGTCACACACAGATTTTAAGGTTAGTAACCACACTTCTCTATAAAATAAAATTAACCTCACTGGGTCAGTATTTGTATTTGTTTTACTTTGTTGTAAAATTGTTTCATTCGAAGTAAATTCTGCTTGTACAAAAACATGAGGCAGAAGGTGTCGACCTGTTCTCGCCACAAAAAGCAGAAGATCAGCAGCGTCGTGCTCAGTTATGACGTTTTCATGTTTTAAAAACTTTGTGTTTTCTGTGAAATCCTGCAGTGGAAAGCTATACTTCCTATTTCTGCTACGTTGTTTATCTGTTCATGCAGTCCATCCTGTAACTTGAATTTCATAGAAGTGCAGTTCTGCTAGATAACATGTGTTTTATTCAAATTCTTACGTGTTTGTACAAGAGTTACATACGTCCTTCTTTGTTTGCATGCTCAGTGTTCACATGGCGGCTTATCATCAAAGCACACAGAAGTTAAACAAAATTAAAATATGGTTTCATTAAGAATAAAATCAAAGACAAGTTAATTAAACTGTGAATTTTACTTACAAAGATGATGCCATTAAAAGCAAACATGATGACTTTGAGGAATGCAAAACATCCCATTTTCCCAGCTGATAGTTCGACCTGTTGAGGGCAAAGACAAAAAGGACGATAATTAAAATAAGTAACTCATCATTTTAAATCATCTTTTCAAAGCTGAAGCTAGGATTCATTTTTAGTGGCTCATTTTTGCTCGTGTCAGTATTTGTGCCTGTCATGTTAGCAAAATATCTAATATGCCACTTGAATGATTTTATTGAATCTCGCCAACCCAATTCAAGAAAAAACATTGAACAAAAACAAAACAACAAAAAACATTGATAGTTTGGCGGCACGGTGGCTCAGTTGGTAGAGCCGTTTCCTCTCAGTGGCCGCTGGATCAAATCTCAGCTGGAAACTTTCTGGTGGAGTTTGCATGTTCTCTCTGTGCATGTGTGGGTTTTCTCTGGGTACTCCAGTTTCCTCCCACAGACCAAAAACATGTATGTTAGGATGATTGATGACTCTAAATTGTCTCTAGATGTGAGTGAGAGAGTGAATGGTTGTCTCTCTGTGTCCCTGGAGACCTGTCCAGGGTGTCCCCCGACTATCTAGCTATCTAGGACACCCGGAGGAGCAGATGGTGGGGTTTAAGAGCCTTGCTCAAGGGCCCAGGGTGGTACGAATGAGGAAGGGGGCAGGTGTGGGTGCTTCACCTACCCCACCCACATTTTTGATGTTGTCTGTACCGGGGCTTGAACCGGCGATCTTCCGATCACAGGCCCACCTTCGCTAACCTCTGCGCCACCACTCCCCTTAGATGGGTCATTAATGTGTTCAGCATTAATCATTTCACCGATGTGTTGCAGAGTTTGCATGTTCAAACGATGCAAACCAGTGGGTATTTTTACTGGTGAGTTAGAGATTAGGAATGAAAAACAGCTGCCTTTTCCCGACAACTCTCCCTTCGCACTTTGAGATCTTAATAACTTATCAAACTCTGCAAGCGCTACAGCGCATGTCACCTGTCATGGGACACGGGTGAGGGATACTTAGTGACACATTAAGCAGGAAAGAAATGATGATGAAGGTAGTGCGCTTCTCTGTTTTTGATAAACTCCCTTGTTGCACACAAGGAAGCAGCAACTGATTCCAAAAGCTCAACTCCTCCATGTTGCTTTATAAAAACGTTTTTATTAAGGGTGCCAATAGATGAGCACTGAAATGGACTTATGTTAGTTTTCCAATGTAACTTTTCCGTCATGACTCAATATGTAACTTTTGGTATCAGTATGTTGTACAGTGTAGACACAGTTTGCAAAGAAGAAAAAAATCCCATAAACAGAGTTTTGGCAGAATGAGTCAGAAAACTCAATTCTCTTTGGACCTTTATACCTCAGGTACTCTTTACACTAGAAGCATCATTTGAAGTTTAAACAAGTCCCAAAAAGTTGGACTTTTCATACCTGAACTGTCATTTTGATGGACTTCACAGCGCAAGTGTCAAACTCAAGGTCTGCGGGACAACTTTGGCCCTTGTTAGCATCTTATCTGGCATCCCAAGATTATTATTATTATTATTATTATTATTATTACTAACCTTTATTTAACCAGGCAAATCCCAGTGAGATCACAGATCTCTTTTGCAAGGGAGGCCTTTTTGATCTGTGGGAGGAAACCGGAGTACACGGAGAAAACCCAAGCAAGCATGAGAATAACATGCAAACTCCACACAGAAAGACCCCAGGTCCAACTGAAGATAATATTTTCAACGTGAAATGTTTTCATTGCTTCTCGTTTTTTCTTGTAAAACTGAGCTTTCTTCATTTAGTGCAGGTTTTATACCAGTTGGCTAACTTTAAAGCCAGTAAAAAGGTTGGATTTTCCAGTCATCTTTGATTTTGACGTGGACGAGCAACAGAGAACAAATGGAACCTGTTAAACTCCTGTTTCTGAGCCTGCAGCTCAGAAAAAGATGTTGAGTATCTCACTTCAGTTCATGTATTGACAGAAATTTGCCCAGTTTTTTTATTTTGGCCCCCTTTTTGTATTTGAGACTGGCACCTCTGTTTTACAGCTTTACACAGATGCAGTTTGAGTTTTAGGATTTTTGCAGGTTTTCCCATGAAATGTTCCACTTGCATGTGATGATGTCTCATACACAACTTTTGAGCGGTCTAAACTTTCCAAAATTGTTAACTCTTTATTTCTCTTTCACATTTTACGCTTCTTTGACAATTCATTCATCACAAAGCAAATATATTTGTCTTTGGGCGGCTGTGGCTGAGTGGTTAGAGCAGTCGTCCTCCAATGCAAAAGTTGGGGGTTCGAATCCACCAGCAGTGACATGCTGAAGTGTCCCTGGGCAAGACACTGAACCCCTCATAGCCTCTGATGTGTGTCCCATCAGTGTATGAATGTGATAAAGCACTAATTAGTCTCTTTAGAATGATTTGTTCAATTAGCTTTGTAGAGATTTAGTAGAGTGCTGTATGAATGGGTCAATGAGGACACAGATTGTAGTGTAAAGCGCTTTGAGTATCTTGAAATAAGATAGGAAGGCGCTATATAAGTACAGTCCATTTACCATTCTTTCACTGTCTCATACTGTTTTAGAGCTTGCAGGTTTTTTCTCTAATCCCAACAACAGTGCAGAGTGTGCACACCCGAAACTCCCATTGACTTCTATTGTATCTCTTTGTCTGTGGAGTTCACTTTCAAACCACAAAAGGGAACGACACAGACTGAAAAATCCTTTAAAAAGGATCAAAAACGTTTTTCTTTTGTCGTTTTTATGACCCTAAGTGACTGTAGTGATTTTTATTGTCAATGTTACTTTACTTTGTTTTTATGTCTCTTGGAATGGAGCACTTTGAGATTTATACAGGTAATGTACAAACTGAATGCATTATTATTATTATTATTATTATTATTACTGTTATTTGAGCTCAAATTTTTCTCCTCAAAACAGGAATTGAGTAGTCTTCATTTGCCACATTTACAAAAACACTTCAGACACCTCAAAGCTCTCATATTTGACCATCGGATGTGTTTTACAGACGGACCTTTTACAGTTTGAACAGTTCATTTTTCTCTCTCAGCAGTGATGACTCAGAACCTGAGGTCTGTGTTTGGGACTTCATTGGACGGTGCAAGTCTTCCTTTTTAGAGTTAAATGTTTCTAAGACAAAGGAGATGGTCATTGATTTTAGAAAAGACTCTTCAGTTGCAGCTCCTGTCGTCATTAACGGTGAAGCTTTCGAGTTGGTGCATCAATAGAAATACCTGGGAACTGTTCTTGATGATAAACTGACCTTTGACCTCCATGTGAACTCACTTTGTAAGAAGACCCATCAGAGAATGTATTTTTAATAGAAGCTCTGTGGTTTTAATGTTGATTCTACTTTTATGAGAATGTTTTATTGTCTCAACTTTCACCTTCATCTGTTGGTTTGCATTAACATGAAAAAACGGGAACAAACTCTTGGAGATTGTCAGGATGTGCAGTAAAACTGCTGGCATAGACCTACAGAACCTCACTGACCTACAGAACCTCACTGACCTACAGAACCTCACTGACCTACAGAAACTCACGGACCTACTGAACCTCACTGACCAACAGAAACTCACTGACCAACAGAAACTCACTGACCTAGAGAAACTCACTGACCTACAGAACCTCACTGACCTACAGAACCTCACTGACCCACAGAACCTCACTGACCTAGATAAACTCACTGACCTACTGAACCTCACTGACCTACAGAACCTCACTGACCTACTGAATCTCACTGACCTACAGAACCTCACTGACCTACAGAACCTCACTGACCTACAGAACCTGACTGACCTACAGAACCTCACTGACCTACAGAAACTCACTGACCTACTGAACCTCACTGACCTACAGAAACTCACTGACCTACAGAAACTCACTGACCTACAGAACCTCACTGACCTACAGAAACTCACTGACCTACAGAACCTCACTGACCTACAGAAACTCACTGACCTACAGAAACTCACTGACCTACAGAACCTCACTGACCTACTGAACCTCACTGACCTACTGAACCTCACTGACCTACAGAAACCCACTGACCTACAGAAACTCAATGACCTACAGAACCTCACTGACCTACACAAGAAGAGGTCAGTGAATAAGACCAGGCTTATTCTGGCAGATCTTGATCATCCACTCCATGGTGAGTTCAGGTGCTTCCATCTGGACGCAGGTATCTGCTGCCCAGATGTAGAAGGAACAAACTAAAAAACTCATTCATCCCTGAAGAGATCATTCTTCTTAACAAATGATCTCTGTTATTTTAATGTCTCTATGTCTAGTGTGGATGTTTTATATCTACTGACTGTGAAACAAATGGCCCCTTGGAGATAATAAAGATTCTTGAACTTGAACTTTTCACAGTGACGCTTTAATGCTTTATTTATCTTCCTTGTTTATGTCTGCCTGTCTAATTAGGGATGCTGCTAGGGAGTAGGGGCATAGGTTTGCGGTTACCATGGTGACCCAAATGAGCTGCTGGCAGCAGCTTTAAATGTTAGTTTGATTTTGGTTACTTTACATTTCTTGTACAGGGTGAGCATCCAAACGCTGCCGTTACGTCTGCTCAGATTATTAAAAGTTTTATTTTCAAATGACGTTTGAGCTTCAGAGAACAAAGGCAACACCAGTTGTGATTTCAAACAGTGACTATGGGTACAATTCAGAATGCTCTCAGGAATGTTGTGCTTCTGTTTAGTGACTATTCAAAATGTCTTGTACATAATAATCACTTTCATCTTTTGTGTTCGCCCGACATCAGAAGACACTCTCTGTGTTGTAGACCGACCTCTCTTTCAGATGCCTGCTCTACAAAACAAACTGTATTCCCAGTGACAACGACGGGGCAGAACCTTAGAGGATAGCAACAGGCTGCTTGTTTGAGCTGCAGAATCCCTCGTGGGTTTTTTTTATCTTCGATATTTCATTCACAACCCGCAGTAAACAGTGATGCTTCTTCATTTTATTAACAACATCTTCCCCACACTTTGTTTAAAGTACCAAATGTACTAACAACAGGAAG